CCCCCAAAGTTTTTAAAAAAATGTTAAATAATTTTTTCATTTTATTTTTATTTATTCTTTTTTTTTACTTTACTGCTAGGGGCTCTAGCAAAATATCAGGGTCTAAAGGGTCTTTCAAAATCGAAAAAGAGATTGACACAATCTACATGTGAACTGCCACTATGACCTTTTCATACAAAAGAATGTCTAGAACACATTTTTACTTTTTTTTTTTTAGACCTAATAAGAATTGAAAGAATAAGGGTAAAATGCTTGTAATGCTTTTGCATCTAACTAGATGATTAATTTGTGTGAGCAGATACATTATAGTATTAAGAGCAGGAGAAGAGAAAGTAAAGTTTATATTCTCTAAAATTTAGCAGCACACTGGTCAGTATTATGAGAACATTCTTGCCTCAGGCACAAGAAAAACAAACATGCACAGGCTGCCACCACTCACAAAAAACTGGCTTGTGAGAAAACCACACTCCTAACACTTTTAGTCAGAAAAGTATAGAGGTTTTTGCTAACACACACGTTGCTTTCTCTAGCAGTTAAAAAATTCTCAAAGTCAGGTTACCGATGGATTAGTGCAGACGGATACAATCTTTGGTTGACTTTCACTTCAAATTTGTGCGTCCTTAACCTCTTGCTGACCGGGGTGTTAAACCCCCTTCCTGTCCAGGCCATTTTTCAGTATTCAGCACTGTAATACTAAACATTTGAAATTAATTTCCATTATGCAACTGAAATGAATTTTATAACATTTCTTTGGGATAGATATGGCTTTCTTTTGGTGGTATTTAATCACCACTGGGGTTTTCATTTTTTACTATATAATAAAAAAAAGTTCCGAACATTTTCAAAAAAAAACTTGTTTTCCCTACATTATGTTATAAAACATTTATCAGTACCCAATTTTTCAGTAAAACATAAAAGACCGGGTCACGTCAGACAAATAGACACCAAACACGTGAAGCTATAAAACTGCCGCGTATATATGTGTACATGTGCTTGCACGCGGGGGCGGGGCACTTACATTTTTGTGGTGTTTTTTTTTTTTTTTTACACCTACAGCGACACAAAACCCTGAGCTTTTTTTCTCCTTATACACTTCTACACAATGAACATTCTCCAAAGCCACATTTATTTATGTTTTAAAATAAAGTCTTACTATTTGAATCCCTATTGTATACTATTTGAAGCAGACACACTTCCTGACCCTCAGTAAGAGCCGTGCACGTTTGATTCTGGTCACATGCACATCTTTCTGTGCCTACAAGAACACTCATGAGCCAGAGAAGAATCATCTCTCACTGCATACAGCTGCCTCCTCCCCCTTTCTCTCCCTCTCCTCAGTAAACACACTGGACAGTTTCACTGCTTGTAATCTCCTCTGCAATGCTCTGAATTACCAAAACTGCTTCCAACAAACGGTTTATAACATTCTTTTTTTTTTTTATCACAAAATGTTATTGTTTTCAAATAGACATTACAATAAAACAGAAAATATACTTCAATAACTATGTAAGCATAGACAAAGTAATCAGAAAATGTCGTGGGGATTACATACGGTAAAATATAATATTCAGGAACGAACAACCAAGTAGGACCGTTAGCTATATGGATCACATAGATGGAAACACTGTGAACAACTAATGGAGTAAACCACTGAACAACTAATAGAGGGCATCGCTGTACTCTGATTCTGGAGGTCTATGTTTCATTCGTGAGCAAAAACAGGGATATATGTGCTTGGACTGCCCATTGGGAGCAGTAGACAATACGTATAGTAAAGTCAACTCTTTGATGACTCATATGACGCAGATGCCTGTCAGACACTGTTCACACCCACTTCTCAGCCCATTTCCATGCCTTCTGATGCTTTTATGGCTAATATTAGAACAGTGGTGCGGGAAGAGCTGTCAGAGGTGACCATTAAACTTTCCTCAGAATTGATGGAGTTGCGTGAGATAGGAGGCCGAACAGCTGAGTTGGAAGGCCGCATGGAAGACGTAATCACAATCCAGGAAAGTCATACATTCTTGATAAAATCGCTAAAAAATGACATTTGCAGCATTCAAGATAAACTTGAGGACGCGGAAAACAAGGCTATGCGTGATAAATTACGGATCCGTGGTATTCCTGAACGTATTACAGATCTAAAAGGAACTATCACCGCACTTTTTCAAGAATTAGCCCCATCCATTCCGACGGATCGCATTGAATTTGATGGGATACACAGGGCAATAGGTAAACGACTTTCAGTAAGCCCCCCTCGAGACATTATAGTGAAACTACACTATTTCCAAACTAAAGAGCCCATATTGAGAGCTGCACACATTAAATCAAATCTGTTATTTCAAGGTGTAACCTTCCAAATTTTTGCAGATATCTCCCCTTTCTAATTGGGTTAAGTGTTGCTTTAACTTTATTTCTATCACATAGGGGGCTAACAAGCCGACTGAACGCTTGTATGTAACTGCCGATACCGGCTGTTTACATTCCCAGAGGGATTCTGCACGCCTGCCCGCAGAAAAAAAATCATGCACATGTACATCTGCCCGTGTATTTACAATGGGTTATTAACAAGTGGTTAATAACAAAAAAAAATATAAAAATCCTATATTTAATGTGCAAACCTGGGCAAAAAGCATATACATTTGGAATGTTTTAGCATTTCAAACATTCCCCAAGCACTGAAGACTATCTGTTAATCCGTCTGTAAATCCAGTGATTTCCTAACTTCTTGTTAGCTGTCAACGCTGCCTCTGCTGTGCTGAAATCCCTGGGGGAGACATTCTGTAGTCCAGCAGAGGAGAATTCAGTGCTGACAACATAGCTTGTCAACTGAGTGTAGCAGAGGCAGCATTGTCAGTCGACAGGAAGTTAATTTCCGGCTTGATCAACAGGTATTTCTTTATCGAGGCACACAGAAATGCAGTAATCCTTATACACCTGGGTTATACTGTCGTCTTCAATAGGTTTTGACACCAACAAACAAAATACGCTAAGCCAACCCCCTTATGACCTATCCTCCAACAGTCATGCCTCAGTTTTTTGCTAGTGTCCTAGGAGGTTAGACATTTGTTCCTCAGCTCAGCTGAGAAAAGCTCTAACTATATTTTTTTGCTAGCTTTTTAAATCTTTCTTCAACCAAGATATTTAGTGGATTTTTTTTTTGTGCGACTTAAATCAAGAGTTCAAAACATGCAGTGTAAGCTAGTCTCTGCACAGCAGGTAAACGGATTGTTGTGTCCTCAGCAACAGCTTTGAAGGCTGTATCTGTAACCCCTTGGAATGCAATTGTGAGATAAGCTTGGAATGTGACCTTCACGCACTATGTTCTGCATCATGGTCTTTTTGTGACCTCTATGTACTGTGTCAGTTTGCTGCAAAGCACTCTCCAGATTCAGAGCCATGGGACAGCCTCTGGTGTGACCCAGTCTCTGAAGACTCACGCAGTGAGTTGGCCTCTGGTCATGACAAGTCTAAACTGTATTGTGGCATTTGGGCACTGAGTCCTGCATAGTGGCATTTTCCATACCTGTGTACTATTATCTGTAGAGCACTTTTTAGTTCCAGAGCACTGAAAACAAAATGCCAGCATACATGCTCTTTATTGCAGAAGTGTACATAGCCTAGGTGCTGGAATTAATTATGTAATTCCCACCTGGCCAAACAAGCTGGCCAAAGATCTAAACATGAAAGAAGACTGGGCGAAGATGTCAAACGAATGAGGGGAGGTGAGATTAGTTCTACTTGAGCATAATGGGGATAAATGCTATATTGTAAAAATTTCTGCATTGATGGTGTTTGCAAACTCGCAATACAATGACTTAGAAGCTAGAGGATCAAAACAGGGTACACAAATGTATGTTTTCCCGATGATATTTGTGTTTCTACCAATATACTATTTAAGGAAAAAATAAAACTGATCCTATTCTGAACAAATCTTTTATTTATGTATTTATTTTAGGGAGCGAATATTCTTCTGACTGATAATGGTCACGTAAAGCTAGGTAAGTACTCTTAGGGAATTATTGCTTTAAACCTTGAAAAATCTGCAGCTGGACAATAACAAATTCTTGTGTTTTAGTAGAAGTATTTCATTTAAGGATAACTAAACCCAAAAACATAAATGTACTATATTGCAGCTTACCAATCATCGTTTACAAGATTTTATTGCTTCTAGGTAAAGAGCAAATAGAGTACAGCACTAAATAGATTGAGGCAAGATAACAAGATAAAACATAATGGAAAATATTACATGCCTGTTATATAGTACACAAAATCAGGACTTTGTTAAATTGAGACAAATCAGCATAGTGTCATGTTAGGCTAGAAACTATTTCTGCAAGTATAGAAAATATCTGTTGTTCTTGTCAGAAGTGCTGTGTCCTTGTCACTTGAGCTGACATGGAAGTCGAAAATAATGTTATCTTCCTTCTGTCAACTACTAATCTCCCCATCCCTATGTAATGGAGCTGAGTAAAGGCAGCCATGTTTGTAGTCCATCACTATGGGTTTGGGACCCCACTGTATTTCAGATCATGGCACCTAAAGCATTTTTTGCACTATGCTTCTTGGGCAGGCTTTGTGGCTATCCTGGAACAATCTCTTTTTTCTTGGCCGGAAGGCCTGCCATGTCTAGCACCTGGCAATCATTTATTTATTTATTCATTCCCTTTTTTATGCAAAAGTGCACATTTTGACCACACAGAAAACAGAGGGTGTTGGGAGAGAGGCTATGTGGCCTCTGTTTTTTTTATTTTTCTAACCTCTCCCCACTCGGGGGTATTTCTTTGCGAGAACCCTCATCAAGTACTTGGTGGACTGGCTTACCTGCTCATATCATCAGGGCCGTATGCACCTCAAGGCAAACAAGGTGTTTGCCTTGGCCGGCAAAAAATGCCACCCCAATTCAATGAGGCAACCTGGGCCAGACAGAATCAGGCAGCCTCGAATGCCTAATCAAGCAAATTAGGGGCCGTGAGGCCCCACTAGCAGCCACCTAATCAGAGAGCTGCCGGGTGGAGAAGGTGGGACCAGGGCCCAGTGAGATGCGGTCCGGCCGGCAGAGGTGGTGGAGAAGCAGCGGGCATCTTGGGGCTGGCCATACCACACGATATGACGGTGGGATGTCCCGGAGGCAGGCTGGGGAACTTCAAGGAAGAGGAGCAAAAAGTGTGCAGGGAAAGAGACCCTTTGCAGCACACTTGAGACCCTTCAGAGCTTACCATAGATCCTGTAGGTGGGCATGATCTATGGTTGGCTCTGCAGGGTCTGTGGTGGGCTCTGCAGGGTTTCAGGTTGGCTCTGCAGAATCTATGGTGGGCTGTGCAGGATCTATGGAGGGCTCTGCATGGTCTCAGGCTGAGACCCCGCACAACCCACCCGAGACCCTTCCCCGTTACGCTAATAGCACAACCTGTGAGAAGCTGGATCCAGCGACTGACAGTCCCCTAAATACACCCACTGCATATCACACTGCATATTCTGTCACTTAATATACCTTATTAAGTGACAGAAAGAAAGTAGGGATGCACCGATATATCAGCGGCCGAAAATTGCACTTTTGGCAAAATGCCAAAAGTGCAATTTTTCTGCCGATATAGCGGCACATCCCTGCTTTCTCTGTTTTTAAAAGTTAGGCAAAAATAATTTTCGGTTTCGGCCCGACATTCTTTTTCATTTCAGATTAGTTTCGGTTTAAAATGTTAATTTATGTGCACTGCTAAAAGAAAGCCATCTACAAGTACTGGGCTTTCCTTATTAAAAGAGTCAACATCTCATACAAGCATTGTATCGTGGAAGCTTCCCATATTTCATATATTTTTGTTTTTTTTCAATGTAGTGTCTCTCTTGTGTTTATTTTTATATATATATATTAGTGGCAATCCCACTGTAGAATTGGGTGTTATGATCCTCCTGGACTCTAGGTCACAGGGGCTCATTGCTCATTGTGAATGGGATCTCAAGCTTGGGTTTCTGGAACTGGGAGATTTCCAAGTTATTCAGGAGGGATGAGATCTCCAGTCCTGGGTCCAGGCTTTAGGCCCGGGGTAGACCTAAGCGATCCGGGACAGTGATTGCCGTCCCATTGATTTAGATGGGGTGACATCCGCACGGCATTCGCAGAAAAAAGGTACATGTACCTTTTTTTGCGATACACGACGCGTGACTATTTCTCACTTTTTCACAGTTTTAGCCAAGATCGTGTTCGGCTGCGCGGGCGAAAATCGCGTCCGTCCGGCGCTACTGGGGTGCCAGTAACAAAATAATGGCACCCACAGCGCGACCATCCGTGCTGGGTAATTCCGTGACCGTGCGGCAATCTGCGCCGAATCGCCTAGGTGTGCATCGGCCCTTAGCAGTGACCAGCAACCAATGATTGCACAGGTGTGCACAGTCCTTAAGGAAAGGATGATAGCTAGTGGAATTAGCTCCTGCTGGGAAATAGGAACAGACCGTGTTCAGGGGTCAGGGGGACTCCCCCAGATGTCAGGTAAGCTCCTACTGGGATAGGAACTGACGGTGTTCAGGAGTCAGGAGGAATCCCCAGAGTTTAAAGTGGAGTCAGGTGGTGTGTGTGTTGGAGGCACACGGACGCTGGGGGAACTGGTGAGGCTAGGGGAGCCATGATCCTAAGGGACCGCCTGTACAAGTGAGGGACAGCATTTCAAAGAGGACCAGTGAGAAGTGCTACTGTTTAAAGTGGAAGCCACGAGGCTATACTTATGTTGTTTTGAAGCCTTGCATGAATGTTATGCTGAGCAACCCCTGCGAGGGTATCCAAGATGGATGTATGAACTTTTGTTTGAATAAAAGTCGGCTACCATGCCCTTAAACAGAAGCTATTACACATGGACTGCATCCTTAAGCGCTCACCATATGTGCTAATATCCTTAAACATAACAATATACTGTATATATGCCAGCATTGTGTCCTGACAGGTTCCCTTTAAACAAGTTATTCACTTGATAAATGTAATGCAGTGTATATTTTCCACTCCTTTTTACAAAATCCCAGGTAAAATAATCAACTAGTTTTAACTGCTTCAAATTAACACAGCTGTGCAACTACTTGAATGTATGGGTGTAATAAAAGTGTGGGAAACATTACAATAAGGTGCGGTTCACGCAGGAACGCAGGAACACGCCTCAAATGCACCAAAAATGGAAACACGCGTGCGTTGCCATTCCTAGTTAATGGCGCCCCAAACGCGGCTGGGAGTGTGCTCGTTCCTCCTCAGCTATTGCACGCGTTAAAACACATTTCTTATTATAGTTTATAGAATACCAAGCTGACACTTGCCTGTCCCCAACTGTGATTGGGCAATGAATAAAGAACAGCAGATTTATTAGGTCATCCTTCTGATGTTTCCTTCTGTCAACTTGGTCTTTTAGCATCATTGCATTCAACTCACCTTACTGGCACCCAGTGCTGCCCCTCCTTCTCCTAGAGTGCTTCTGTACAGAGAATTTAAAGAGGCTAATATCAAATGTCAAACTCAGACGCCTACACCTGAAAAAAAACCTAAAAAATGTAAATTTGCATTAAAAAGTATATTTCGTTATTGTTGAATACAGTGCGTGTAGCATTACACTAGTTAGTAAGTTTCAGACAATTCACAGATAAAGCAACATGTGTATTTTTTTTTATCCTAGAGCAGTATACTTGATTTCACATATTGTGATACAGTTGTTATGAAGGGTAACTTCAGTCACTGCATTTGAAAGTAGTATGATGAGTAACTGACATGCAATATGACATTTCTCCCTCTTTACATTCCACTTATCTATTATCTAAATAAAAAGCACAAAAAGAGCTTTACCTCTCTACCAATACGTTGCTTGCAAGGAGTCATCTCTACAGCTAAAAAGCCTTAATCATAGCTATACGGTTTAGTTTTGAAACCGATTAAGCCCTTCATGACTGAGCTTATTTTCAGTTTCTGTTCATAAATGACTGACACGCTTTTTACATTTTTGCTGTGTGATTCTTCCACAGCAGTAATATACTTTCTTACTAAATGTACCCACTCATATTATATATTGTTTTTTAGAGGACAGATAGGGCTATATAATTATATCAAACGTGTACTTAACGCCTCACTTAATTTGAATAAAATATAAAAAAATGAGGAAAAAAACTAGAAGAAAACACTTTTTTTCACAAGTTTTAATTATTATTATTATTATTTTTTTTAGAAATTTGTTATAATAATTATAAAAAATAACTTTTTTTTTTGTCAGTTTATATCATGCATTCACTATGACTGCTTGAAAAAAATAACTTTTTTTATTTTTGGCTATCATTAGGCTGCTCCAAACTTAGGAACAGCTAATAATAACCTTAGAGACTGATCCTGACAGCATGTCAGATTCAGATTTCACTAAAAGGTCTTTGATCGGCCCAGACGATCAGAAGTCTGATACATTTCACTCAAAGAGATACTTTGTATCTCTTTGGTGAAATGTATCATAAACATAAGGCTATCAAGCTGTCAAAACGAATAGCAGAGAGGTGACTCACTCTGCTACCTCTCTGCTATTTTCAGCTGTCAAATACGGGATCGGTATTTAGTGGTCCCGTATTTGCATGTAACGGCTTAATTCTTTCATCCGTGAAAGAAAAAAGCTTTTACTAAAGCTTAAGTATTTCATTAATGAATGCCTCAATACTGAGACATTCTTTAATGACTGGTATCTGCTGAGAATCAGCGGTTACCGGCATTACAAAGCCTGATTATAACTCGTCACGTACAGTGTACGTGGCCAGTCGTATAGGCACTTCGTGATGGGACGTACAGTGTACGTCTCCCGTCACAAAGGGGTTAAATACTATTAGCTAATATCTAAAGTATGCAGCAAGACTTATTCATTAATTTCTGAACGGCAAATGTAGTAAGCGCACTACTCTGATGGTACAAGGTGCGTTTAAGTAACTAGTGGCTGGGGGCATGCTGCCTCCTTAAGCAGGGAGAGGGACCCTGCGTATACACAAAGAAAAAGACTGG